TCTCTGGCATTTGCTTGCGCCCTGTCAAATGTATCTTTTAGCTGCACCACTTCATTATCATCCATTTTACAGCATTCCGTTGTCTGTGGACATGTATTGTATCTATTTCCATACGTGAGCCAGAGTCCAGAGCTTGTGCCAATGACAGCCTCAAGTATCTGTATTCAGTATGTGTGCATATGTATGTATGTGTGTGTGTGTGTGTATGTCTGTTGGCATATTAAATTTCATTTTCAATATTCGACAACGGCATTCGACTAAAAGTCAAGTCTTTGGCAATGCCTTTGTCTTTGCTGAGCTCGTTACGAATGGCACTCCAAGGACCATTAATCAAGTGTGTGCACTGAGAGCTACTTTCGAGAGCTTCTCACACTCCACCCACCCACTGGGAGACAGACTTTTAATCAACATCAGCTCTGTGAAAAGTTGCAACATATTACAACGAATATGAATAGCTTGGAGCCTGAAAACATGCGATTGAACCTAGCCAAGCAACTCGCTCTTTGGGATTGGCCTTCTGCTTAAGGATTTAATTGATCAGCTCAGCTTGTCTTGGCTAATTGGCTAAAGCTTGCCACGCCTAGATTTATAATTGTCAAAGGCATTTGTTTTTGTTTTTGTGTGCTTGCACTTTATCGAACTTCAGGTCAATTTATTCGTTTTGAATTAGAGATTCAATATGTTACAGGGCAATTTATTTATATACAATTTTTTTTTTTGTTTATGGTATATGGTGTATGGTATAATAATAGGAACTTATAATAAGAATTTCGTTCGTACTTAGTTTAATTTAGGCAATAAACAATAACTGAATACAGTTAGAATACAATTTTCGAAATCAATCAAGACTTTTGATAGAACGGGCTTTGTAATATTCGTATAAGATTTGAAATGTTTGTTTATTAATTTAAGCAAACTTCGTTCATTAATATCCATTAATATATTATTTTTTATGTTATCTAGAGACTAAATTTTTGTAAATTCTTTAAACAACATTTACATCTGTCTTGCACGAGCATCCCATATACGGCCTGTTATGAACAATAAAGGTTTTCCTTTGTTTACCATTTCATGATTATGCTTAGCGCTAAAAAAAAAAAAAAATGTTTTAAATATTATAAATAATTTATATGATAAAAATCAAAAATAATCATTACACATCAATTTTTATATTAAAATCAAATCTTAACTTCTTATTATATGTATATTTAAATCGGACTTAACTTGTATTACAAAAATCGAAAATTAAAATTGAATTGAAATATCTCTTGAAACAATTATTTTTTACTTATATCATACAAATTATTATTATTTAAAAAACAATTCTAATTTTTTTTTCCTTTGGTATAAAAAATATATTTATTACGGTCCCTGCTTTTAGCTTAAAGTGCTACACTTAGGCAGTGCCATAAATTTTGTGAAGAGCTTCTTCTTAGAAATCAAGGACTGAGTCAGACCGATACCTACATATACATATGTATGTATATGAGTATATAAATTATATATATATGTATACATATGCATATGTACAAACAGATACATATATTTTTTTCGCTGAGTTCATTCACCATTTCATTGGAAGCTGCAACCCACATAGCTCATCAATTGATGCACTGCCCGTGATATTTTCACATGCAGCGCACAGCAACAAATCATTAAAAATGCATTTTCAATTTCGTCGCAAGTACAGCGCCGCGAAAGGACCAACAACAAAGAGAGAGAGAGAGAGAGAGAGAGAGAGAGAGAGAGAGAGAGCGAGTGAGAGTGAG